GTTGGGTTCTTCCTCCATCTACGCTCTAGCCTTCTCCTCATACGCTTCAGCGCTCGGAGGTCCTGGCTAAACCAGGGTGCTGGCCGAGCTCTAAGACGGAGAGGGCGTTTAGGCGCGATCGTGTCTATGCCCCTGGTGGCAGCAGTGTACCACAAAAAGAATGGCAAGCTGCAGAACCAACTTACTATTAACAATGTTTTAAAACAATGATTATATTTTGGTAGTAAACAAGAAATGGTGGAGAGTGTCAATATTAATGATGGGGGCAGTTTTGAGTTTGTTTTGTGTAGGCATCCATCAGTCTTGAGAGACTATGGTAACATGCTCTGAATAGAGAGGTCTTGGAACAGCATCTATGTGGCTGAGAAGGCCAATTCGAGAGTGACAATCCCTTCCACACTGACGACAAATACAATCTGTCCCCTTTCTAGCTCCCTGATTTTGCTGGTTTCAGGACTGCCTCTTTGCCTTGACCTGCTGAACAAGTGTCTCTTCAAATTGGGAGAGGTCGTGATGCAACGCCTGCCTCTAGGCTGAACGCTCAGATGTCAAGGTTTCCCATCTGTTGAGGTCCATTCCTAAGGCATTCAGATCCTGCTTGCAGATATCCTTATATCACAGTGTTGGTCTCCCTCTGAGGTGCTTTCCCTGCACTAATTCTCCGTACAGGAGATCTTTTGGAATCTGACCATCAGCCATTCTCACGACATGCCCGAGCCAATGTAGACGCCACTGTTTCAGTAATGTATACATGCTAAAAATTCCAGCTCATTCTAGGACTACGCTATTTGGAACTTTGTCCTGCCAGGTGATACCAAAAATGCGTCGGAGGCAACGCATATGGAACATATTCAACTTCCTCTCCTGATTGTGCACAAAGGGTCCAGGACTGTACAGGAATGTACTCAGGACACAGGCTCTATAGACCTGGATCTTGGTATATACTGTCGGCTTCTTATTAAGCCATACTCTCTTTGTGAGTCTAGAGAAATTGGTAGCTGTTTTGCCAATGTGTTTATCCAGCTCGAGATCTAGGGGCAGATTGTCTGAGATCGGAGGAAGCCCTTTGAGACCTCCGAAGCCAAAAAGGCAGGGAGAAAGGGCTGGAAATTTGAATTTCCATCCCTTTCCCCCTGCTTTTTTGCCTTTTGAAATGCTGGAATGGATTAATTTCATTCCCATGCATTTCAATGGGAAATGGAACTTCGACTTACAAACGTTTCGATGTACGAACATCATTCCAATACTGATTAAGTTCGTAAGTGGAGGTACCACTGTAATAAATGGTCTGGAGTGTCCTGTGCTACTGGGTTTCCTAAAGATAATCTTGTATAAACATGATTGCTACAAATGATGAAAGTTTACTGACACCCTTATAGATGAAAAATGTAATTATAATGTTTTCAAAATCATGATTGTATGTTTACATGTGTTTCGGTTCCATGACAGCCCAGCAACACTACACAATGATAAACCATTAATGTATCCACACATCTTCTCTCACTCAGCACTATGGCCTCACCTTCATAAGAAATGTAACACAAACCTGAAAAAAGCTTAACACTACTCTAGGCAGAAAAGTACGTAACAGATGAAAAACACATTACATGAACACAAAACGCAACCTTGGCAACACATATAAGCAGGGATCTCAATCTTCCTGTGAACTCATAGAAGGACAAGCAAGCAAAACAGGTATCAAAGGAAAACACATACTTTTTTCCTTTCAATCAAAGCATGTACATTTGTGTAAAACTACAATACATTTCTGACCTACCATTATTTTAACATTTAAGCAAAAAAGAGTAATTTCAGGTTTGAGGACTCTTTACCTACAACTAAATGCTTTGGATTATTTTTCATTTATTCATGTTCTTATTTAAAATGAAATGTCCTAGCACGAGTTTTACAGCAATATGATTAAAATTGCTATAATTATTTTCATTAGTACTTCTAGTTTTAAATTTTTAGTATTTGCTGCCCAAATTGTGAATCATCCAAAATCTGCTCTTTGCAATGATGAGTTCATATTTTTAATATCAAATATCATTTTCTTTTTCTAAAATCTTGCAATTATCCACAAAATTATTGTTTACTGGCAGTATATATACTGGAACACAGACACCACTCAACAGCCCTCAAGCTGTAGCATTCCACTTGGCCAGTTTAGCTGGTATTCCTGATTTCATCTTTGCTCAACAATGAATTGCACTGGACATGTCAGGTTAACAAGCTTCACTCTGTAAACTAGTGGATCACCAGATTAGAATGCTGAAACAATTTTTTGTAGTTTCTTTAATAGATAACAGAATCCCAAGTCTTTTCCCCTCATTTTAGCCCTGAAATAGAATACAGATTAATCAAATCCTAAAAGCACAAATTTTGACATCTTCCTGAGTCACATTTTGAACAGAAATGTATACTTAGTATTTTTTCACATTTCTGACTGTTGACCTTCTCAGTATGCTTTACCCCATGCAGCCCAAACCAAATTTATGTGCGGCCCAAACCAAATTTTCATCTTCTAATGTGGCCCAGGGAAGGTGAAAGGTTGGACACCCCTGCTTTAAATACTGCTACCTTTCACAATTTTACAAGTTCAAACAACCATCTGTACTCTTCTGCATAACTA